CGTATGCTGCAGTAACCGCGCCAGTTCGCCCCACCGTATTCATGTCGGTTCACCGTTTGCTCCTGTCGTGCGCCCGTCATCGCCACGCGCCCCCCCTGGGTTGCATACCGCTCCGAGCTCGCTGCGTTCGTGTGTCCCTTGCGGTGCGGGTTCTTCGTTAGCTTCGACCTGCCGCTGCGGTTTTGAATTCGCCCGCGTCAGTCCGCAGTCGTTCGTTACGGACGGCCGCGCGGTCAGCGCCGATCGCAGCGTTTGTTTGTGTTCCGCCGCTCCCGCTCCACCCCCCGCACCGGGCCACTGGGGCGTGTCGTTGCCTAGTTCTTTGGACCGACACTTTGGGTGCCTCGTGGGCGCATACGGTGGCGTTGGCGCAACGTTGAAGTAGCAGCGTGATGACTAGTTGAAACCGGTGCCGTTTTTTTATTTTTTTTTGTCTCACCCACGCCGTCCTCGGTCGTATCCGGGTGAGGCTGGCGCAGCGATTGGTACGGAGTTGAATTCGCCTCGGCGCGGCCACGCCTAGATCGGTGCCGCTCCCCGTGGTCCCCGTTGACCGGTACTCGCCCAAGTGGTGCTCTCGTTGGGTGCCCGGCAGTGTGCCGGGCGTTGTGGCGTTTTCCGTTGCCGTTGTGAATGCGTCGTGCCGCCCGGTCCAGGATGATTCCGAGCCACATGCGCGTTGAGGGCCTCGTCCCCTTTCCGCGCAGGGCCACGGCCGTTCGTCGTTGATCGTCGCTCGTCCGTGTTGAGGTTGTCCGCCTGGTTGCGGTTCCGGGGTCCCCCGTTGATATTCTCGGTTCGGCGTTTAGTCGCGTCTCGCTGTTGACCAACCCGTTGATTTCTCCCACGTTACGGCCTCCGGCCGCGGCCGTCGCGACGCTGCTGCGGGACTGTGTGACTTGCCGGCCTAGCGGAGGTCGGCCCGCGTCCTAGCGTTCTTACTGGCGGTGCCGTTTGTTGCGTTCGCGGGCACACCCCGTCCCGCGGCGTTTGCGGTTGGGTCCTCGGGTGGGTCCGTCGATTCCGTTGAAGTAGTGCCGTGCGCCGTTCGGCACCTCGACGCCGTTGTTCGGACTAATATGCGACGTCGTCTGTTCTGTTGTTCCACTCGGCGTCGCCCGTTGCGCTCGGCCCAACGCGGGCGCCCGGTAGACGCTCATGCGGCACGCCGACGTGCCGCCGGGGCCGTGCGGGGTCTATGCAGCTAGGTTACCGACCATTTCCGCGCTGTGTGGTCCTCCCTGCTGTTACGCCTCCTGTTTGCGGTTGCAGGTTGCGTACGTTGCGGGGCTCGTCCGCCCGTTCGCCCGCTGGCCAGTTTCTGCGCGTTTTCCGTCGCGTTTTGAATAGAATACGCCGAAACGTTTGGCCGTTGTGCAATTGGAGCCCCCCGCTCGCGGCACGTCCGCGCGCCCTTTGTTATCTGTCTCGCCGTCCCCCACCACTGCGCGTGCGCCCCGCTCCCGGCCGGTCGCCGGGCGGGCGCCATGGCCCGCCTTCAGGGAATCGAGTTTTGTTGAGGCGTCTCCTTGCCGGACTCTCGTTTGGGCTCCACCGCGCGCCGTCGTTTTGTTGTCGCCGCGGCCTCGAGGTACTCCGTCTGGTCATGTTGCGGCTGCTCCGATCGTGGTGACAACCACCGTTTAACGGGCTCCGGAGGCGCCGCGTTGCACGTCGCTTCTTCTGGAAACGCCTCCGTTTTCCCTGTTCCGGCTTCCCGCGTTTGAATTCGGCCGCATTCCCGTTTTTCCTGCACCGGTGAACGTCGCGGGAGCGTCGTTGCGTTTCGGGTGATTGCTAGTAACGAGTCGTCGCAGACTCATCTCGTTGTCGCGGGGTCGCTCTCCCGTCCTGTTTTCCGGCCCGTGCGTTTCTGGGTGGGTTCGTGCCTGTGGTCGTCCTATAGCGGCTGCGAGTTCTGGCGTCGACTCCCTTTCCCGAGCGCCGTTCCGTCAGTTCCGGGTTCCGGCCATGAGTTGTACGGGGCGCTGTCCTGTCTCGGGCGTCGCCGTCAACCGGGTCAATGATCCGTGGGTGTGCTCCGTTTAGGCCCCTCTCCGGTTGAGCGTCGGGCCCGGGTCGCCGCCCGTGCCCCCCCCATCGTTCACGTGCGTTGGCCCTCCGGAGGACGGGGGGCTCCGCGTGAATGTAAATGCCACCTGGCTCCTCGGACGCGCGCCGCACGGCTGGTGAACGCCCGTTGAACCCCCCCGGCTTCGCTGGACCGGCCCACCGGACCTTCATCCGCCCGTCCCCGTGTTCGATCAGTTGCCCCCCCAACGCATTCGTTGGCCCTCTGTGGCCGACTGCGTCGACCTGTTGACTGTTTCGTTCTCTCGACTCGCTGGCAGTTGGGTTTGTCCTCACGTTTGTGACCGTGGGCGCGCCCTGAGCCTGACTTGTCTGTTCGCGCTGTTCCCCCCCTACCCCCCGTTGCGTTGAATAGCCGAAGCTCTTCTCCCGACCCCGCTGGGAGCCACGCTCGGTTTCGTATTGAATTTTTCCGTGGGCGTCCGTTGAAGCGTGGCTCGTTGGGCGTGGGGGCCGCGCCGGTAGCACCCCGTGCACTCTGTGCGTATCTGTTGCCGCCCGGTCTCCCTGGCTGTTTCAGACGAGCGGAATCCGTTTTAGATCGCCTTCGTTCGGTGGCGGCCGATGCGGCATCCTCCTGGCCGCAGTCGTTTCGTCTCTGACCGTTCCCGGCGCTTATCGCTCACCCTGTTCGCGTCGTGGGATGTGTAGCAGGTCGCCGCTATCTCTCGTCTGTCTCTGCGTTGAACGCGCGGCGCTCTCCCAGGGCGTACTTCCTCGTTGACTCCGTCGAGTCTGCTGTTGATGGAGCGTTGCCTAGAGTTCTGCGCCGTAGGTCGCGTTAGGCTGGTTCCGACCTCCCTCTCGGCTGCGCAGTGTTTGAACGGCCGTTGTGGGCGCGCCGTGAGAGTGCGCCCGTTTTGTCGTTGCGCCGCGGTCCGCGCACCCGTCGTTTTGAATCGCCCCGTTGCACTGTTCCCCTCGGCGCCGCGTGACGTTCCGTGTCGCGGCGCGCGTGGGGGGGGGGGCCCGTTGGCATGTTTTTTGCGGTTGGCAGCTCCGTTGCGGTTCCTCGGCCGCCGTTCCGCTGCCTGGCGGTTGGTCGCCCGGTGCGTGGAGCGTTATGGCACTGATGGGCTCGGTGGAGGGCGACCGAGTGGCCCTCGCCCGTCCTGTTCCCACCTGCACGTCTCCGGGCTGAGGAGCACGTTTCGGGCGATGTCCGGGTCGGTTGTTCGGGGTCGCCACCCATTCTCGTAATATACGCTCGTTGGCTCAGTGCGTCCGTCTGGTGCCCTAAGCTTCGGCGGCCGCGACCTGCTCGCGCCAGTTGTTTCGCATGTCAAACGTTCCGTCCTTCCACTGCTCAGCGCCGTTTCCGTCAGGTTGCGGTCCCGGTTACTCCTTCTGCCCCACACGTCGGGGTTCGTTTTTCTGCTGTCCCGCCTCTGTTCGCTCCCCGGCACGCGTTCGTTTTGCCCGCCACGCGTCCGTTTGCGTAAGAACGGTTCCCGGCGGCACGTTCCCAGCTCGTTGCTCACGAGGCCCCCTAGCGCCGTTAATGTGGTTGCCCAGCTGGCTCCCGGGTCCCCGCGCGTCGTGCCCCCACCTACGATTGGGCCTCATGAACCAGCCGTCTCGCGTCTGTTACGCCTTCCGCGGCTGGAGCCGCCCCCTGTCGGTGCGTTGCGCGCTCTCGCGGGTGACACGTTTTCGGAGTTCGGGATGGGGCCTGGGCCCGCCGTCGCCCGTTTGCCCTTGAGTTGCTCACGTCGGCCTGTCGACGAGTTCGGGCCGGTTGAGCGGCGCGTCGCGGTATCGCCGTGCCGGCGTTGCGTCTACCGCCGGCCGCGCTGGATGCGCCACCCTCGGGAGTCGATTTGCGATAGTTTTTTGCTGCCGGCGTTCGTTGAACCCCTCGTAGCGGGCTCGAAGACCCGTTCGCCGTCGTTCCGCGTCTCTTTCAAGGACGTCCTCTCCGTTTCGTTATGCCGCGGCGTTGTGCGCGTTGCAGTTGCCGGCCTCTCAGACCCGATGGTCCACAGGTAGCAGCCGTCAGTTGATTCGCCGACTCCCTGTGGGGGTTGAAACACCGGCCGTCCGGCGGCCTCCGTTCGCGTTGTTGACTTGTTTCTGCGCCATGCGCTTGTTGCTGCGTGGACGGCCCCCGGTTGACGGACCGTCTTGGACCGTCTAGTATTCTCGTTCGCTCGACGGGTGAGGGGTCCTGCGGTTCCTAGTTGAAGTTGGCCCTTGCCGTGGTCACCCCTGACCCGCCGGCGTTTGACTCTGCGTTGCGCCCGTTAGGCCCGTCGCGCCTGGCTCGTCGTTGGCGTTGAAGCTCCGTTTATCCCGGTCGGTCTCGTTGGCTCGCGCCCGCCCCCCTATATGCGTCGTTCCACACCTCGTTGTGGCCGTTTCTCCACCTCTTAGCGGTTTTTGCCCGTCCGGGGCTCCTCTGTGGGGGGCTCGGCTCCAGCACTTCTGTCGGGCGTCTCGGCGTTCCGTCCTTTCGGCTCGGGGGTTGAATCCCGCCTCCCCCTTCGCGCGCGGCGGCTCGAGGCCGCTGTGCGGCGGTTTCCCGGCTCGCTCCGTCGGTTCAGTCCGCGGTCGGCCGGGCCCCTCCTTTAGGGTCGGTCGCGGTGAACCGACTTTCCTCCCAGCGGACCGCACTCGGTCTCGGGCGGCCGTTGAAGCCGTGACGTTTCCGTTTCGCTGACGTCCCTTCGGTCTGCCCTCTCATAGGTCTCGGGGGTCCCCGCCTCGTCGGGGCTCTCGGACCGATGACCTTGACGTTCTGCGGCGCTCTCGCCTCTGGCGCCTTACCGTCCCCCGTTGAAGTAGAAAGTTGGCAATCTAGCTTAAAAGAGGATCGCCGATCTCATAATGCTGTAGCTTGGAGAGTAGTATCCGATGGTTAAGATCGAAAGCTTCCGAAAAATCCAGGTAGAGCATATCGACATCTTCTCTAGTGTCAGCTGACTCGGTCCAACTAGTGCGTGCGATCAGTAAATGTCTTGTGCGTGACTACTGTCGACGGAGGCCGTGCTGCTCAGGCTTGATGATGTCACCGTAGCCAGATAACACACAAGTGCATCGGCAACTATGGCTTCCATGATCTTGGAGAGTATAGGAAAAGGGATAGTGGGCGGTAGTTGGAGGGCTCAGTTCTGCTTCCACCTTCGTGAATTGGGATTATTATTTCAAGCTTCCACATATCGTGAACTTGCTTCTGGTCTAAGCAGTTCTGGAGAAACTGAACTAAAGATCATCCTAGATAGTTTGCTTATGCTTCCAGTGCCCCTGGAAGAACATTATCGACAACCGGCTAGCTGTCTTTCCGTAGAGACGTCAATTTTGCAACATAGCCTCTGCGATAAAAGTGATGTGGGTTAGTCCTGGCGGAGAGGCGACAATAGTTGGAAGATCTCTTGATGGTACAATTTACTGTATTGTGTGGGCATATTGCATCCGCAGCTCGTTTGCTGCTTCCATAATCGTTTTTGTTGGGCCGTCGGCTGTCCTTAGTGAAGGAAATTCTTGCGTGACTTTCCTATGCAATTGACGTTCTTGTACAGCAGTTTGTGCTTATCACTGAAGGTTTTTCCGACGTTCTACTGATGTGCATCTTTGTCTTCTCTTAGAAGTTGT